TTCTGTACCTCAGCCCCTGTGTACCACATGTCAATGAACACCCACTCCAGCTTCCCCAGGCTCCCCAGGCCCCGTTTACTGAAAGAAAGCATTCAGTGTAGATGTGTAGTGCTTTATTGAGAAAAATGGAATAGTTTCCGAGTACAAAAATCCACGTTGTTTATCATTACTATTCTCATTTCATTTATGCACTTATTTATCTACATTTATCTATCTACTCTTTGCATTACAAACATTGTGCGTTAACGTACTTAGGTTATGTCTTACCTGCGTCCTGCTGACATAAATACCTAAGGGAAACCTCACAACCATAATCATGGAAACCCATCGCAGATGAAAATTCAAGAGCCATGCAATATTCACCACTGTTCGGATTTGGTTGCGATTTTGCCCACAGCGTTTTATCAAACTGTATGTTCTGCCCATACCATATCCATTCATTGGTCCTGCGTGGATCTTTACCATCAACCCAAAATACACTTTCACCTAATCAAGAACAATGGGTATGCCCTTGATTGGCCCTTATTTATGCGATCGAGTGGATAAAAGAAAACAAAATTCCGTTTTAATGGTGCATACAAACATGAAAAGAAACATCATCTCACATGCTCGCGCATGTGTGCTTTTGTCTTTTAGTTGGATGAATGGATGAGAAATTAATGATGGATGAATTGATAAATGGTAGGGGATGGGTGAATAGATAAATGGATGAACAGAAAGACTGACAGATATATAGATACCTATTTGCTTCCTAATATATCCAAGAACAGTGTCTCTTTTCCATACTGTATTTAGAGCTGCCAGGTGGGATTTTTCACTGATACACCGATTCCTTGCTTTCTCCCAGGACAATTTGTCTGTAGAAAACAGTAAACATGTTGAGGCAACCTCTTGATAGTATGAGGGGCAGTGCTGTCCACTCACAGTTAAACCCAAGAAAGATATGAATGCTAGCGACAGCAATGTAGAGATTTTTTCACCAGACATGGTTATAGCGAACTGACCCTATAAACATGCGATCCCCTACCAAATAGACCCTACAGTACAGGTCAGTGACATTTATACCATGGCCAATATCAAAGAGATAACTGACATTTGACTTTATGTAAACACGGATTAATTTCACGTGCAAGAAATAACACGTGCAACCACAATTTACTTTAAAACTACCGCCTCTTATTGAACAATGGTCACCAACCAGTGCTTGTAGCATATGGTATTTGTCTGCTCTTTTTCATGATATCATCAGGAATTTTATTGATGTTTATAGATTAAGGCCTACTATTGACAAAATAGCTTTTCCCCTAGACCATTGTTGGTTGATCTCATCCATGTAACAGGGTATAGGCCCCGTTCAGCCTTGAGTGCATACATCTTATACGTGTGCAGATACCAGCACATGCCCCTAGTTAAGGTCAGGTAATGAGGCCGTTTGAATGTGTGATATCTTAAAATCCAAACAACAGTTCATGTAAACAGGATGTTGATAAATGTATCCATACAATGAATGAGGCAGCACTGAGACCGTGGGCAATTTCTGTTTGCTAACATCAGTTCGTACCAGCAGTAGCACATTTTTTTCATTATTCCTTTAAGATACTCCATCAGTACTTCATTGAGATAAATTTAAGAGAACATGTCGTCTCAGTAGCAAGATGCTGTTAGTGATCTGAAGAGTTGAACATAAAAACACTTGATAGGGTACGTGTCCCAAATTTACCTTAATACCGATGTAACATGAAAGAGAGTCCCCGTAGTAGAAAGATAGTTTTTCAATCATTTTACAGGTAAGCCTCGCCCTAGATCTTGGCCCATTTAGGACAAGTTTATCCTAACCACTACATGGAGGGCGGAATTTCTGTTACACGGACCCTCAGTTTCGTTACATCGGCAATTACAGGGTAAGGCCCAACATCCTTTTCCACGACTGCAACATGACCTTTATTCTTGACAAATTCGATCTGATTATGTGTTTTACATAGTAGCCTAGTTTATTGGTCTATATGGTAAGCATCAAAATAACTTTGACATTTAGAGTTAAGCTTATTCCTCAGATCTTAAAGATCAATTAACATTTTCCTGTGCTCATTTTTAAAGTTGAGGCGCGTTTGTTATACTGTGACGAAAATCTTGTCAGTATAAATGTTCCTATCTTCGAAGTGAGATGACATTTGACTTACACTTTGTACACCCGTAATGTAGATATCTTGTTTAAAAATTAGAAGTACTGTGTACGGAGTAGCACATGGTCTTTTTAAACAAATTTACACACTGTATCCATTTTTATTTTATCATTTATTCTATTTACTTGTCCGTTTATTTTTGTTTTGTTTTCGTAAAGTAAAGCAGTGGCGGATTTAGAGGGTGGGTCAGGGGGTCCTGACCCCCCCCCCCCCCCCCCTTCGATTTCTGGTCCCTTCTTGAAATTATATTTTTGGCTCGCTGAATCATAGTTCTAAACCGTACCAAACGGTACCGTTCGCCCTCTAAAATACCGATTTTTTTTCGGGGCCCTTCACCGGCCCCAAACCGTACGCCACCGCACCTCTGCCGGGCTGAATAATGCACGCTATCAGAAGTAAAAGTGTCGTCAAAATCCAGCACGAAGTCATATTGGTATACCGATGGTCTTGGTATACCGATTGGTACACCGGTGTCTAAATAGAAAATATTGACGCACATGTGTTCATACTCTGGTAGATAACCTGTTTTCAGTACAAAGGAGATTATCCTAAAGGAAATAACATGGTAAAATTTGCACATCTGTTAGAAATTTTTAACATAGTGCATGCTCAATAATCTTAAAGAAAATAACATGGAAGGCAAATCATTGCACGTGACTGGCAGAAATATAAGTAAAGTGTTCAAACTTAACAAGGTTTTACCCTCATTTTAAAGCTCCCAATGTACTGGTAAATTGTGAGTGAAAAAGTTGCCGTCTTTTCACCCATGTGATGATACAATTCCAACGTCTCCGATCTTATATAGGACAAAATAATTACATATTTTATAATTACATATTTATGCTTTAGAAAGTTTCAGTTTGTATATAAAACTATAAAAATCCTTATCATATTTATTATGAATTCATCACATGGGCACATACGCACATGCAAGCTCACACAAACGCGTGGTTAATTTGGTTGTTAAAGAAGTCATTAATTGTGTCATGGTGAAGGGAACTATGTTACAATATACTTGACCCGTCGTTAGCATATTTTTAAATCCTGCCATCTAAAATGATGAGCGTTGCATCTGAATTTTTGGTGTACGCAGTGTAAGTGCTGTATTGGCCAGAGCAGTTATTCCATAGTTTTTAAAACTTATTCACAAAACGACATGCAACCTTGCCATGGTTAAAGGGTCGTCAAATGGTTTTACCGAACGCCTTTTGTCAAAAAAAAAAATGGCTCGTGAAAATGGAAACATTGCAAAAGAGGAATTAATACCGTGTCCATTAAATGATCTACACTTATTTTTCTTTACCAGTCACAATCATGCATTCCTACTTCTATATCTGTGAAACAATGGCACCAGCACGTTTCAAGCAGGACTATATATATGCATTTATTGGAATTGAAGACATAAATATAATATTGTAAATATATGCATATACGTATATACGTTTATAAAAAGCCAATGCGTTCTTATAATTAATTGAATAACAATTGATGATAACATTGTTCATACAGTGAACAACACATGTTTAATAAGTGATAAATCATCACTACCAATCCTGCAAACACGGATTAAGCCATTGTTGGACCATTATATATCGTGTGAATTAAAATATCTCAAAATTTGATTTTTCAATTTGTTCATTTGCAGGAGAAAATCCAAATCGTCTTATTCCAGCCCAACGGTTTTAGAATATGAGAAGATATTAAAGAAGGTTTCAAGTCAAAGTGTTTGCTAGAAAAAACACCTAAAGTAAGACAAAGTGAAATGCCCACAAAAGTGTCAAGGTCTAAAGTCTTGTACGCTCCTTTTGATTACCAGACATATCCATCACACTTGCAAAATTATTCTCTCAAAATGTGAGCAAAATTGCCTATTGAGGAACGGCGTTGAACATTAAACAAGTTAACCAATAATGGGAGATGACCCAGACTTGCGCCTGATCTCACAAAGGAACGATTTTGCTTCATAACAGCCAGCATCTCGCCACATATATGCATCGTTTTTCCCGCCCATGACGACGCAGTTGGCTGACGTATTGGTGGATGGCCTTCCAGGTGCCCACTCAGTAAAATCGCCGCTCCCAAGCATGGTTCCATCGCTGGCAACAAAGTGACCCTCTTTTCCCCTGTCGTTTAGTCCTAACATGGTGGGGAAGCACAATAATTTACAAAATTCAAATATCCATTTATCATATTCGAATACATGTCGCACTCCAACTTCCCCTTATATCCTACGTGCATTTTACACATACGGGAAGCAACTAGGTTACATTTTCCACTAAAACCATGCTTCCAACAATTATGTCCAATACCACTTTACTATAATTTATATAAATATACATATTAAGCAAAGATATCATATTTATGTATACTCTGCACCCACCTATCCAGTGTTCTGTGTTCGTTGACGCTAGCAATTTCGTAAGCTGCTTATACTCGGTTTTAGTCTTAATGGTCACCAGACGTGCATGTCGATAGAGGGCAGCACACGCCGAGCTGGAGTTCTCGTAGTTCAGGGGCGCGACTTGTGGGTTTGAGGTATTGAAAATGTGCACACACCATGAATCAGACACAGGACTTAAGCCTTTTGGACATAAATCATCTAAAAAATAAAACAGTTCAGAACGCAAAATTTCATCAACATTAAGGTGCCGGTTAATATCTGAAGTACTGAAACTAAATAACACACACTTTGATTTGTACAAGTACAATTTTGCGTTTAAAACATCGAGGACTGCTATTTTATCATTTAATTGTAGTACGTTCCAGGTTCAGATACGAATTATTTCATGTCCTTCTGAAAATGATTAATTCACTGACCACAGCTGTCTCCGAAATATCCCACCGTACAGTTGCACCTGAAGCTACCAACAGTGTTAACGCATATCTGGTGAAGGCCATTGCACGTCTTCAAACATTCATCAATGTCTGAAATCGGAAACATTCTATGTGTATATTTCCTGAATATTATGCAAAGGAAACATAACAGTTTGCAATTCACGGGTTCGACGCACAATGTATAGCTTCTACCAATCATGCTGCACTCTGTCAAAGAACGTATTTGTGAACAACTTTTTCACATTTCGCATTTACCTTAATTCCCTTATTCTCTACTATAAAAATAGAGCTATACTGTAAGAAAGCAATAGCTGCCCTTCGAAGTAGCATGGAATATAAAAACGCACCTTCACAGTTTCGACCTTGGAACCCAGGCAAACACTGGCATCGGAAGGAACCCTCTCGATTAACGCAACGGGAATTGGTTGGACAAGGGTTCTTGGTGGCACACTCATCTATATCTATTGATGAGAACAAAGAAATGTTTTTAGGCAACTGAATAGTTAATAAATGTAATATGCAAATTATACATTTATGAAGATATATGAAGATATTGTTAATCGTTTTTTTCATGTCGCAGAGCTAATTGCAAACATATTTCCAAACATACACATTTGTAAACTTAAAGTAGATATTTTATTCATTATTCTATCAGAAAAGTTTTACCTTTGCATGTTCCATTCTTTAAGATATATCCCGAAAGGCATTTGCACGTAAATGTTGAGCCATTCAATACACAAGGGTGGATACCACAGTCGCAACTGAAATACTCTAGTGGTAAAATGTTTTCAGTAAAGTCTCGTTGTTACGAATGCCTGGCTACCATCCGAAAAAAAACAAACTTAGAAAAACATGGACTAACTTTGAATATGATGGAACGAGTTCAACTATGGAAAAAACGTCGTTTCCCCCAGGAAAAGCCAATTTATGACACTTCTTCCAGCTAAATGAACAACTGTTACGCTTTTCAAGTAAGGGAAAACGCCTGCAAAAACAAGCGGAACACTTCAAGAAGACTCATTGAGTAAGGTTGAACAGGGGAACAGGCAGGACAAGAAGCGTGGTGAACGAGTGCGGTAAGCGGAGAACGTATCTACCCATGTATTTGTATATCAAAACAAAATGTAAAAATAATTACAAACGCGATTATCATATACCTTTGCACTCAGTGGCGTTTGATACCCCAATTCTATCAGTTGTTTTGCCTTTAGGACACCGGAGACAAGACACCTGCCCAGGGTTGTCCTGGTTATGCCCAAACGGACAAGATAGACAATCCCCATCATTTGTATCATGATAAGTACCACGGGGACAGCGGTCTGAAATGATTGGTCTAATTAATTAACGCGGTTAAAAATTGCAATGGAATGTGGATGCTATTTCTCTGCTTGTCTCCTTTCATTAGATGTTAAGAATTATTACGCGAAGCTTAAGGATGCTTTAATAACCTTTATGAATACATTCATAAAGAAAGTTAATACCTTAATAAAAAACGTTAATTCTGACTTTTGCATAATCTGACATTCAAGTTTTACATGGCAAGGAGTCACAAGGTTGATTCTGACGTAGTACTTTCATAAAACGTTAAAAATTCCTTGAGGTGGAAGACACTTCGTTGTACTTTTTAAGTTACTGATCACATATATGATTCATACACTGGAGAAACTCACAGCATTTGATTCCGCTTTTAATGGACCCCATGCGACATCCTGTGCGTGGTCTACTTATCACCAAGTTGTCGGTTTGTAAGTCGATATATTGGCCGTTCACAGAGATTACTATAGGGGTAGACTGCAGGACCTGTTTGATAGCAGACGCCGTGGACCTTAAATAAGAAAATACAGGGACTGATTCTGCCTAGTTCAAATAAATATATCATAGACTTAATTGTTATCTGCAGGTAATCGTAAATTACATGAGGTATTCAACTGAGATGAAATGCGGGACAACTACAGTATATATATATTCAAGGTTACGTTCGCGCCAATCATTTATTACTTACTGTATTGATTTTGCCAGTCTTAAGACGTTTGCTTTAACTTCTGAAAGAGAACTTGCGTTTCTGTCACCACCGCGGATGTGGAGCACGATCCTTATGTTAAAACTGACCATTGTGTCCCGCTTTACAGTCCCTGCTCGCTTAACTTGGACGTCCTTGACCTAAAAGATTCTAAACTGCGCTTTAAGGACATCATAGGTAGTATGTTCAATAGAATTTTATGGGATATACACATGTACGCGACCTTCAGCAACACAATTGTAATACTTCCTGGCATTGTCATTACACATCTATTGTATCCATAATTATGACATGTAACAAATTTCCCCAATGGAAACATGAGACTTTCTTACCTCGCACGATTTGGAGCATTTTCCAAGTGTGTTTAGTTTGGCTCTAACACCATCAGCAACCTCTGTCTTTATCTGATCCTCTTCGAGGTAATCATAGAAAGGAACATCAGCAATTAGCCCATCCAAACCACCGTCTACCCCTAGAAGATGCCCCACTGAAAACGACACATTCCAGCAATAAAATAACCAATATCGCAGTTGATTTGTACAATTTTGATAAATAGGAAGTTTGGAAACACAATCTACCAAAATATTAGTTTTTTAGACACCATCCTAACTTTGAAAGCATAATCCCTTATGTAAATTTTAGATTGCCCATTAAGTCTAACAAAATGATTGGCTATCATTTGCGAAGTGTATTTTATCGAATACCTTTAATAACTGGACACCAATTATACGAACTTCTGATAAAATATAATATCTACATTATTTAATATCTAAACGTGAACCACTTACCTTCACAGTCCTCGACACTAGTTGACGGCAGAAATCCGCCACCATATTGGGGCAACCCCCAAGACCATCCTGTCTCGGGATTACAGTAAAATGTTTTGTCACGAGCGACATATTTATAACCATCCTCACACCTCATGTGGCACGTTTTACCAGAATTGATGTCTTCACAGACCTTAAAACCATGTTTAGGGTCTCGAAGAGCTGTCGTGTCACATGTTCCAGACGCTGCAAGAAGAGGGTAAAGTGGAAAATAGTTTTGAATTAAAGTATTCATTTTGTCCATTCATTCTAATATCAAAAGAATTTAACTTTATGCCATACAGGACCGACTCCATGAACAAATAACTTCACAAGGTAGAAGGGGATGAATAGAAAAAACGGTATGGACGTCGCCAGAGCATATCTTCCCATGTAATTACTTCTATTTATTTACGATAACACTTGCCGCTGGTGGCAAAAACTAAGAATGAGGGTGGTACACCACAGTGACCTTTTGATGCCTTTGATACCAGTTACGTAATCAGTAAGGAAGTCGACAGTGATCGGACATGGACAGGCAACTTTTAAAAGGATAATATTTCACAAGATCACTTTATTTTTGCAAGACCCGTAGCTATTTATTTAACCCGCCAGTTTGATACTCACGCTCACAAACAGGAACTTTCAGTTTCTGTGAGTCGCAGACAGCTGCAGGCACAGACATGTTGGATATTCTGTATCCCACGTGACAGTCATAGCCAACTCCTTTTCCTTCACACACGTACTTGTCTGAATTCTTGGGCTCACCGTTAGGAATTGCCTTTGTCTTGCCACAGCATGCTAGAATACAATATGAACTCAATTGACTATGTAATACACCGGTCAAACACAATAAATATGACATTTTCGCTTCTCTTGACTTATTTTTTTTTCATAATATACTACTTCAAACTTTAACACGCACATGTAACTCTCGATACTAGATAACTGACACACATAATCTAATATTAACAAGGACGAGACCTGTTTTGGCCTGTTTTTCACCAACAAATATGCACTTACCCTTGCACTCCGGCTCTGTACCTGATAGTGCACCGTTTGCCTGACATGTTCGTATCAAATTGCCACTAACATAAGTGTAATCTGGCAGACAATAATAACGCACATATTCCTTCTCGTTTATTCTGGGAGCAGATACCGAACTCATGGCTCCGGGCACGGCGTGGACCTGACAAGCTGGAAAAAATCACAAGCATTACAACTTGACACGTTTTAGTCGAATCGAATCAAACACACTAGCTGGAGAGAACCCATTCACTACAGAAAAAATCCTGAGTAGAGTGAATCTCCTGAGCATAGAGAGAACTTCACTAGAGTGAAGTTCCTTCCTAGAGAAAACCACCTTGCTGGAGAGAACAGTGGAACCCACCTAAGTCATCACAAGCCAATTCCATACAAGAAACATGTTTTGACAGCACTGTGCAAGTGGTCCTTACTACATGTATAGTATATTTTGTCCACAACGACCTACATCGCTCTACCAATTGACAAATATTAGTACATGTATAAAATGTCCGTAGTGGGTTTGATTCCCACTCGGTCCCGTTTTTTCCTTATATTATTATTATTAATGTAAATATATATTAATATAAAATGATTTTTGATAATTATTTCTGCACCTGAAGGCAGGGTAGAGAGGATGTTTTTTTTTTTTTTTTTGCAGGATTTTGTTTGAAAATGCATGCCACGAACAAATAAAAGATCACAATTGCCATGGTAAAATATTAAGCATCAATCTCATATCATGGTTCAGTGATTGATGTGACGGGTATCAGCTAGATTAACTAGTAGTTCGTGTTCACAATATCTGTGTCTCTAACAGTCAAGGGCGTATAGGTGACCCCTAACCGTGCGAGATTAACACTGTTAAGGTCATATACCTAACTTACCTGGACATGGGCCTGGGAAGCAAACTTCAGTTTCGCGCCCAGATCCAGGACAGTATTTACCGTCGCCTAAAGGTGCCAGGTTATCGCACTGTCGACTTCTGTACCTCAGCCCCTGTGTACCACATGTCAATGAACACCCACTCCAGCTTCTCCAAGCTCCCCAGGCCCCGTTTACTGAAAGTTAGCATTCAACACTGCGGTTAATTGCCCCTTTTTGTTCTGTCGCGATATGAAGTAGTTTCAAAGAGTATGCCAGCTTTAGTAGCGATATGTAGCTGTATCATTCTGATAAGTTCGCTTATCCATCTTAATATGCAAACTTGCCTCCTTGAAAATGTCAAAAGGGCGTTGTATTAGGTTTCTACTCATCTTTACTTTTGCTCAAACCCATAGTACGCCAGTGACTCGAAAAATAGTTTCCTATGGATTTTTTACAAATCTGTCGTCAACTTATTATATCAAGTTTTGTGCTAAATCTAATTTTTATCGCGACATGACCATTCAAATGCTGACCATTTCATACCAGCAAACTTACCTGATTTCTTCTCACATATAAAAGCATAATGGTAATTACATGGTGTATCATTTAGACCCCATGTGCTGCCAAAAGTTAGCAAGTGCATACAATTCTCTACGCCTCGACCGTTTGGCTCACCAGGGTGCCATAAAACTGAATCTACGCCGGTGCCCTTGGAATACCAGATCCATTTACCATTCTGCTGCGGGTCCCTTCCATCCACCCAGTAAGACGTACCGAGTGGAACTGCAACATATACGTCACGAAATCATTTTAGCATATATGCGCGCGCGTTTTAATATATGCATTTACTGGAATGAATAATGCCTAACATGCATTCATATTTATTATCAAAAATAAATTATATAACGATGGAACCAGTGGCATTCTTGTGGATAAAGGTGACGCAAGTGTATCCCAGTCATGGAAGCATACAAATTTTGAGTATTTTATTGTCATATAGATATATTCAAAACAAATATAAGACTGACTGACATATCTCCTTATACTCCAAAGAAGTAAATACGGAGATAAACGTTGTCTAACTCGTTGCCAAACAATAAATAGTAAATTACTTAGCTGACCGGTTTACGTTTTATAGAATCTACTAACAGAACGATGATTTTATGCAATGTTAGATTTGTATTTGCTTATCCTAAACAAAAAAACATGGTTGTATCCCTTTTCATCTTTAAGGTAATTAAAATAACATTTGACACATGATCTGCAAAAGAAGGGGGTCCAGAATTATATAATACAGCTTATACAATACAATAATTCAATTTACTGTTATTTGCTTTCATATAACGGGGGGATCCGAAATTATATATTACAGCTTATACAATACAGCAATTCAACTTACTGTGATTTGCTTTCATATAACTCACAATCATGTCCCTTCTTGGTGTTGTATCCAGTACAGCCAAATGTGAATCTTCGTTGGCACATATTTGTTGAGCGTCCTGCCATGATGTCCGAACATTGCTGACGAAACGGAAACAAGACGATTCCATGAAAGTGTACTGGTAAGGACAAACACTTGATGCTGGTCGTATTTGCAACTTTATGCAACACATAAAGAGTACCACGAACTGTACTTGAATCCACCCCATGGCGACGACGTATGAATGCAAAGCATATCACGCATTTACCTCATTTAACCTGACTAGCATGACCTCATCGGGACATAACCTTGACCAGTACATAACATCATAATATTTACGAAATATAAAGCTCCGTAGATTTGACCTGATGATAGGAAGGCCCTTGGCGATATGAAATATATTAAATATTCAACGTAAATCATCTACTGACAAAATATGCATGTAGTGGCGAAAAATGAAATATACAAATTATAAAATATAAATGCATATAATAACTTTATATAGATATAATAACTTTATAATTAAATTTAATTTATATGTTACTTAATATCCGTTAAAGATACATATAAACTGAGCGTGGATTTCCAGTAACGCATAGAGACCACTTCTACTATTTTCCTATACGTCTAAAATAAAGTCGACAGACCAAGAGATAAACCAAATTAATGTCTCGTTCAGCCAAAAACCGCTTTGAAAATAAACCTTCTTCACATTTTGGTCATATATTGACATATTTTTTTGCCCTCCAGTTTACAAAGACCTGCTAAATGACATACCAGTAGTCTGTGCGTGCATTGGATAAGCATCATTGACACACTCATTTCTATGTATAGATGTATAGCTGCGCGGACAATTGCATATCCAGTCAAATGAGACTGTTGTGGGATATTAATAGCGCCGGAGGAAAACAGAAAAATCCAATATTATAACTTTTTTCGGGATATATGAAACGATATCCTTTGGTATTTCTTTATGTCATTTGAAATTAAATGGTGACATTTCGTCGGGTTTTGTGCCAACATCTGGCATCTTTAAGAAGTAAATAAATGAAAAATTCTAGTAATAATAGTGTTCAGATGCACTTCAGTTGAGAGAAGACTTCTTTTTATTAGTCTTGTGTATAAACATGGTCAGCTCAGCGATAGTGGGCTCTCTTGTACATGTTTTTTTTTCCTTTTTTGCACCAAATATTAAAATAATGGACCTGACATGCCCGCATATCTTTGACGTGTGAAATATGTAGTAACATTATTCTGTAAAATAATATTCTGTAAAGCGAACTATGCAGTTTCATTTTAAGGCTTCAACGGTAGTAACCAAATGTGTATGGATGTGTTATAAAAAAGAAAGAGTAGTGTTAACTGTTTGCGAAAAAATCGAATTATGTCCTCTTTTGGGAAGAACCAAGCAGAATTCCGAAACTCTTTAAAACTCTAATATGCATGAATGCATTCATGAATGCATGAACTAGTCTGATGCTTGTTTATAGGATGGAGGTTTATATCTACTGATACCTTTGACCAACCATGACCTGTGAGGCTATGATATCATAAAACCAACATTTGTATAAGACTGACACACTTCAAAATACTAAGTTCACGTACGTGTTTACTTCTTAGCTTGCCCTAGTGCATGTAAGTGCTACTGATAACCAAACCAAACGTCACCTCAGCTGTTGAATAAAGAGGGCCCACGCAGTACAAATAATTTGTATTTATATTTAAATCCCCACACTTTATTTGGATTCCAACTGAATTCGTTACTGGAATTACGTAGCCGGACAATTCTATGTTATTACAGTTAATATGACATATTAACGGTTTTTGTTTATGAAATAATCTTAAGTATCAAAATTAAATCTGAAGCAGCTGTATTTTACCCATGGATTTGACTTAATCCGTGCAGCAAATACCAAACGATGTAAACAACTTTTCATAGAGCGCGTTCAGAACAGCGGACTAATAGCTCCACGGATCATATATTGCGAACCACTTGAATACTTGTTGCATAATCTCCGCGGGAAAATATTCAGTGTCTAGATAATTAAGTGGCAAGCTTTTAGTCGGTCGCCATATTTGTTCCGTGAATCTGTCAGTACACTGTTCTGAATACGCTCATATATATATACATTTAAATATCACGGTGCACAAGGTACATGTTGATATTAAACAATTAATTATATACGTTATAATTCCAAATTGCTTTATATAGAAACGTGTTTTCACAAGTGCTTTATATTCCACATATTCTATAAGTGTACATTATGATGAAGAATCTCGAGCGTTTCAGACAACAATTATAGTGAATCCTTATTATACCATAGTATATTGTCATTGTTTGCATAGTGCATAGTACACGCCGTGTTCACTGTTATTTAGTAACCAAACAAGCCTTGGCCTCCTGAATAGAGGCTATTCACCTGGATAGCCTAATTCCCTGATGAAGATGCTCTGTTAGACAACGAAATATTGGAAGTAAACTTCTTTAATATTAAGCTGTTGGTTGAGGAAAATTACTTTATTCTTGCAAAAAGTTTCTTTAAAAGTCAATACATGAATGCTCAAGTGCCTTGTGCATTGTTTACACCTCTGTTACTGCATAAACGTGGGACTTATATTTCATATATATTTCTGTTGATGATGGTTGGTAAAATACGATCTAAGATGGATATAAGATAAGAGAGAAAGAGAGAGAGAGAGAGATTTAAAACGAATATGCAAGAAGTGTGCTTCCAATTTATATCTTTACTGTATGTCATCAATGTCATCCATTTTCAAAAAATGACAGCAATGAGCTACCCGATTGAAACGACAGCTTTGCCATTTTAACCAACTACTGGCGCCAGTGTATCTTTGGGTCGAAGTTCACAAATGAAGGGTTTTCTTTCCCAGCAGGGGGCGTCTTGCCACAGAAACGCCCCGCTCTTCCCACTTAATTCAACGCAGCCAGTAAGGGAGCGCGAGGATGGATATCCAGCTGCCCAGATGCCGAAGCTTCCACTACCGAGCTTGGTACGGGCATTGCTGCTACTTGTAGTGTCATCACCTGGTTAGATAACAATAGTTGTTTTATACTGCCAGTTGTACTAAGGCTTATTTTTATATCAAAATAGCTAATTAGGATAAGTCCATTGATGACTAAAGTGTAAAATTAATATTGAAATTGTTATTATTGTTATTGTTTTTTTTTTTTTTTTTTTTGTTATTCTTATTATCTGACCATCTTGACAAGCTTAACTTAAGCTGTAGGTATGTTAACACTGTGTAGACTTACCTATCCAGTATTCAGCCGCTGTAGGCAAGAACCTGACCATGTTTTGATATTCGTATTTGTTCCTCATTGTCATCAGGCGAGACAGCGGAGACAGCGAGGCACACGCCTTCATGGACAGGAAATAATTGTATGCCTCCGTCTTTGGGTCGGAAATATACAGGCACAAGCTGTCGGTGACCTCAATGAACAAATCAGGGCATAGCTTGGCTGTAAACGGCAAAATGAGAAGCATTAAATAAAATAAAGAAAAAAAGTTTTAAAAAACGTATTTTAGTTATCTTACAAGTCAGTTACAAACTCCTCTAGCACAAAAGGTGTCACCCCAAACGAAGAGCAAAAAGTGATAAAGTAAATCTTTTCATGAACCAATGTCCGTTATTCAACTTCTATCACAAAAAAAAAAAAAAGAAAAAACACACTGATTGTGCGACCAATGGATAGCTTAACCATAGTTTAAAAAAATAGGGCCAAATTTTAATATTCTGTAAAGTATTCCTATGCTTGGAAGATCCACCTGAGTCAAAAGCTTCTGTAATGTTAACCTTCTGATCGCGTTCCACGCACGATTCAAAGATAGCATAAAGACATATTTCTTTACAGGGTAATAACTCAGTCATCCATATCCCAGGATACACAACGCATTCCTAGTGAGGTTCTTATCTAGGAATTGAGCTGGCCATGGGGAAGGGGAGGGGGTTTGGTTCTGGTTCTAATATAACCACGCTACTGTTCCACTAGCTTTACGTGGAGTGGAATTATCATGCTGAAACATAAGTTGGTGGTCATGATCCCTAAAGATGTTCTCAGCAGAATCCTTGACGTTCCCTTCCAGCACTTAAGGGTCTGTGTTTTAACTTTAAAAAGTTTTTGTTGATCACTGCCAGTTCACCTACACCATAGTAGGCAATACATCTCATGCTATGACTTATGCGTGGTGTGCCCAGTCGACCAGAGAAAGAACATTTGGAAGATACCTTTTACCAGCTGTTTTCCAAACCCTTACGGGTCCATCACTTCTCATAACGCTGAACGTGCTTTCATTTCAGAACAATATCATTGCCCAGTTCTGGTATACCATTTGACTCGCCGTAGACGGTAACTGGCGGTGATAACTGGTACTGGTCTCCTAATAAAACCCTACCAAAATAAAGACGATTGTGCAGACGTCTGCTGACGGTAAGTTTAGAAACATGGTTTGTCTTTGTTAAATGCTGCATCCGAGTTCCTAAATGCCATTCAACGTTTTCTACGAGGAAGATGCGGTAACATTCTCTCTTCTCCATGTGTGTCTCCTTCGATCGGCTTTAACCAGACAATCTTGCACATGTGCCTATTTGATTACGATGTTTTTTAACCTTCTGAGTGGTTCTCATTGAACAGCCGAACCTTCTCCCTCCTACAGTACGTTATTCACTTGGTAAAAAAATGTATCCTTTTCACTAAAAGGCCGTATATTAAAAATGGTTGGAATATTTCAATGGTCACACTAGGTAGGCCAATGCTATTCTTCTCACACCCACAATGATCGGTTGCCCAGCTGTTATATTATAGTACATTAAACCCTTTGGTTACCCTTGTAGCGATGTACATAATTGCGGTAGGGGTGACAATTTTTGCTAGGTGAATGAAAAATCTTTCAAATTCTATTGTGATCCACAAATAATCTTGATAAATATGACTGATAATTATGATAAATAGACCCACATATATAAGAATACCAACCCTGTACGGGTACTTGCCCGTTGACCAGCGTGTCCACATATTCCACACTGAATCACTCTAACATAAAAAAATGTATCCAATTTAACCCTGTTCACGCACCTGTACACGGCGGACCACTACACGTTTCAACCTCAACCAATTGTCCTGGGCAGTCCTTGCCACCATTGGTTGGAGGTGGACTATTACACGCCCTGTGTCTTGTCCTGTTGCCTTGACCACAGGTTTTACTGCACGTTGACCAGTGTGTCCAAACACTCCAGACTCCGTCAACTAAAGTGACAATAAATGTGACGTATCTCGTCATTTCATTGGAGTACATGTTATTTGAACACTTTTTTATTTGCTTTTTAGGTTTTCCTAAGTTACCACATGCAGCCATGCCGAGCCCTTTCCGCAATGACGAAAAATACCTTTTTATATTACTATGATAATAACAACACTGGTTACGCTTCAGATAAACTTTTGTTTGAGGGGTTTCATTGTCTTTAAGGTCTGGGTGCGGAAATATAAGAAGCATTTCAGAATTAAAATAACTTAAGACTGGGGAATTTTCAAACGCGTTCAGAGCACTTTTAACAGATTAATTCCGAAATAAAATGGTTATATAGATAACACGGAAGCTCAGCTATGATCGAAATAATTTATAAAATTATTATTAACTCACCAGGGCACTCTCCTGGAAAGCAGAACTCAGTTTGTCTGTTATCTCCAGGGCAGGGTTTACCAGCGCTAACAGGTGCTGGGTTATCACATACACGAGTGCGGGACCGCCGACTTTGTGAGCCGCACGTTGCAGAACAGGTGCTCCACGTGGTCCAGTCACCCCAATTTCCATCTTGTTTAATGTGCATTTTAATACAAAAAAATTAAAATTTACTTTATAGTTTTCAACAACGTTTCCGTCAATACATGTATACTCACTCACAAACGAAATTCAGGACAATATCTACATCAGCTCGGTGATTGTTTTGAAAGCATTTTAAATGAATAAGTTCTTAATCCTTTTAATATTTATGTTGATTTTTGTTAAGTTTTCAATAATATTCCTTATACCTATATCAATTTCACAAATGAAGGGATTTGAAAATCTACATGGCGTATCGTTGATACCAAACTGGTTATTCTTTTCCCAAATATGCATACAACCCTCCTGCCGGGAATTATATTCATTTGGCTCTCCTGGAAGCCACAGATTCTGATCAACTGGGGTTTTCCTTGAGAACCATATCCACCGTCCATCGTCCCAGGGTTCCCTGCCATCCAGCCAGTAATATGGATCAGCGGCTAGAAGTTACAGGCAGATTTCATTTTACTACTACGTATAAAAAAAACCTTCTGGGGCTAATTTATGAAACAACCAAAATACCCCTCGGCCACCTTAAGAGTTGTTTTACCATGAAAAGTAATTGATTTACAAAATAAATGCAAAACGTGAAATAATTAAGTAGCAGATAAATATACAAATAAATAACTTACCTCCTTGGTTTTTCACGAAATTTATGACACTGTCTCTTTTGGAGACTGTATCTAATACAGCTAAGTGGGCCCCTACATTCTCACACTGTTGTCTAGCCTCTTCCCACGTCAGTCGACTGCTGATGAAGAGAAAACATGATGATGCTATAGGCATATAACCCCAGTGACATTTCGTCGCCCCACTACTAATTGGTATGCAGCAACAAGCAATAACAATTGCTACTGCTAAATAAAATGAAGAAGTTTTCATTTCATTTCAAAGTGCGTGAAATAATTTCGTGTCAGCCTTCATGCATCTTTTAATGCTGAGGCGTACTATCTGATATCTTATACGTTATACGGAGACAGCATGTGTTTATTCACACAGTATTTCCTTGTCAGTAAAAAGTATTTCCTTCACCTTGTTCGATAAACTTCTACTCTTTGCTCTCAGATGCATGTAAGACCATTTAACTTTAACCCTGCCTTTATAAAACACCACAGGGACGTTGGAAATGAGCAAGAGGTGCACAGGAATAGCCCACCTATAATAGACTTTGTAAAATGCGTTTATCTAATGTTAAAACATTGTCTTTAATATAGGCACCACCAGCCGTAATTGATGATGTCGGAAAAGCAGATACATGTACCAATACCCGAATTAATACGGAGGTTAAAGACCACACCATTTTTACTCATAACATGATATCGGCGGTGATTGCTGTGCATTTCTTCACCTGTTAGAACCAAAACAGCAAACAGCACCAGGAGATATTAATTCATGTCTTAGACCCCATTCCCATACCTAGATCGATCTGGCGGAATCGGTCTATCTCCGAGGGGATTTTACTTAGATTGCAGTCAGCTAAAGCTGTTAGGAGGGAATTGATAATCGTTTAGCAGCTTCATTATCTCTTTTCCGAAACCAAGGTTGCTTTTGGCTGATGTGAATACAGATTTAAATTGATGCACGAGTATTTCAGCTTTATCATAGCTATTGCTGTGCCTTTCTGGGGAGGAATTCCAACAAAGTAATGTCTATGTGATTAGACAAAGTTTAAGAATGGTTGAGATATACATTTANGCTTTGCTGCCTTGTTTTTACTGCATTTATTGAAAAGTAATGGGATAAACATTTATAATCTTCCTAAATACAAAGTTTTCATTTGTAGCACCCCCCAGTGCTCCAACAGGACTTAACATTGATAGCAAAACGACCAAATCCCTGGAAGTTACTTGGCAAATAGCAAATGAGACAATAGATTCATATATCGTACAGTTCAAGCTGAAAGGTGGGTGTTTTATGGTGGTGGTCAAAGTTAAGGTGAGATCTGTCCTATAAATCTTTTTTGGGACTGGTGGAAAAGATGTTGTGAATTGTGAAAAAAAATTAATGCTTATGTTAAAGAAATTAAGTGATGTTGTCAATGTTCTAAAATTTAAGAACTGTCCAATCAATAATTTCAATTGTCCTTCTATTAGACATCCATCATGGTCAGTAATTGTTTATCACCTCACTAAATAGTATTCTAATGCACTGCCACATCTAGCATTTACATAATAAAATTAAGCGATGAAAATGTTTTCTGTGGAAATGAATTGTTCTGATCCATTGTGAAATCAGTGGTTTTATCATGTAATTAACTTTTTACTGAAATCTTCTTACAGGTGCATCTAATTCAACATTTAGCGTGTCACATGCCAATTTGTCAAGTTCAGCTACCACTGCTAACATCACTGGTTTGTCACCAGGACAGTACTACACTGTCCAAGTGATAGCCACCAGAGGTCTGTTGAATAGTCCAGCAGCTGTGATAAATAAAGCAACAGGTGACAAATTTTTCACATACCTTTTAATTAAGGATACATAGCGCAGGACAAGTTTGAATAAGATAATATACCTATAGAGTGAGTCAGCTGATGACACATACAGTTTCTTAATTGGGTATTTAGATACAATCTTTTATAAGCATGGTTGTATGGAGGTGTTTTTTATGTTGATGAAATTGTCTTGAACTCAATACAGAATTAATAAGGATAAATAAGATCAAATGTTATCAGATGAGCAAGGTCTTGACAGAAATTTAGTTTTGATTATCAGGTAAAGCAAACGGAAAGAAGGTAAAATTGCAGTGTTGAAAGTTTTAATGTATTTTATTTTATTTTATTTGGTATACATGTAATTTTCCAGTAAACTTTATGCAGATTTTCTCTTCATTTAGTTCCAGCATCCCCTGTTTTATCACCACCTGTCACAACAACAACTACAGTCCAGCTAAATTGGACAATTGTTGGAAATGCAGAGTCTTTTCGTGTGGCATGCTTAGCAATATCCCCTGTAAATGGAACGAATGTAACAGAAACTGTTAATCAGACACAATACAATTGTACATCTTTGACTCCTGGGACAAAATATGAGATCAGAGTTACTGCTGAACTCCAAGGATCATCAAGTGACCCATTCACCTTGACTGTGCAAACTTGTAAGTGGAAAGAAATAATGTTCATCAGACTCCACAACATTGCTATTCATTATGTGCTTATATAATTTAATTTTATGGAGATTTGTGCAGCTAGAGTCAAAGCTATGGGCATATGTCATTTCTGCAATAACTTTTAAGCAGCTTTTTTGTTTTGATACAAACTCATTGTCCCCATCTTTTTTTAATTAGGTCACATATAATCTCAACTTGATTCCCTTACATTTTGGGGTCTGTTGTTGCATTGGTTCAAGTGTGACGCTTGATGCAATGCACCAAAATTTTGGAAAATTAAATGCTAAATATCTCCCAAATGGATTTAATTATTGGAAAAGTTAAGATAGCTGTCTGACCAAAAGACATGTGGAAATTTCAAAATGTGCACTTGACTTTGACCTTTGGCCTTTATTTGCATTTGGCCTTTATTGTGTGCTGATTTTTAGAAACTACACAGACTTACATTTTCATATTATAGTGAGGGTTTACAAGTAGGGACTCCTTTTGGGAGCTGGGGATCAATCCGTGCATTTTCATGTAATTGGCCATTAGATGCCGAAACTGAAAATACTCTCTCATTCTAAAACGCTACATGTTAGAGACTACCTGTTTGTTGCATTTTGTAGAGCTTAATGGTCAAGTGTGGTGTCCTTTTTTTTAATTTTTCATACAGTTTAGGAGTTGTGCTATATCAAAAAATTCAACACCCCAATGTGTTATGGTGAAAATAAAATGTGAAATACTTCAAAACTAGCAGAGGTAGACCCATAGATACCATTGGATTAGAATAGTTCAGTGTTCAATGTTCAATTTGGCAATCTTGCGGTGACCTTGAATTTGACCCTTCACCTACTTTTCACAATGAACTTCACTTTGCAGATTTTCCCACTCTAAAATCCCCGTTGCTGGCAGAGATATGCCAATAATTTACTATTGAAATAGAATAGGAAGTCACAATCTTGCTGTGAGGTTAATTTGAGCTTAATATCGCTTGAATAAGGTTAATCTCTCTGGTGGGACAATACCTGGGGGCAGTATCACCCCGCATGCCCTCTAGAATTCATATTTAAATTGAAATGGATATTACTGCATTTTAGCTTATTGTGCACAATGTTCAGTCTGTTAAGTTAGTTTAACTTTTAAAGGGAACTGTGTAATGACAATATATGTAAATTTTAGTTTCAATATTGTAATTTTGAGACTCAAATTGCATTGCCATAAGTAAATAAAGATTAAAAGGACTGCCTTTTGATATCATTACAGTAACTTCCACTGTTACAAACATAACATTCCCAGAGGAGCTAGTAACAACCGAAAGTATGAAAGTGGTGTGGACTCCAGGAATGGGGCATACTGAAGAATATAATGTCTCTGTTATTCCAAATGGTGATATACTAGTAAGGTCGCCAAACCCATCGGATACCTACAGGTATATAACTGGTTTATGCCCTGCTACCAACTATACTATCAGTGTTGTATCAAAAGCAGGCACAATATCAAGCTATCCAGTGGAGAAGTCACAGTGTACAAGTAAGTACTAATTGTGTGCAAATTATTAGAAAATAGATATCATTTTGGGAAATTGGATTAAATTATANTCTATGTTTTCTTCATTAATCATAATTATTTCTAAGCACATACCCTTTAATACTCCAATTAACTTATTACAACTGTTCCATTTTGTGCCTTCTCTGATGTATTACTTTCTTGACCAAACTTCTATATCATTTAAAATATTCTTTGTTTTATATTTGCGATTTACTTGGACCTGACGCAGCAAGCTGAAAACAGCCTCGAATGAAATCTGCTCATCTCACATTTCCTTTTATACTATTGTGCAATGCACAATCTGCGCATGTCAAACTCCGCGCCCTATGAACTCATTTCCTCACCTGAATTGCTTCTCTAACACATTTTGCGTTGACTCGTTAAACGACAATAAATTCATTTATATACTTATTCGTTTCACTTAATCGCATATAAATCATTTATTGTCTAATAACTCGCAACGAAAACACCAACCACCGTTTCCAATACAAATCATTTATTTCGTTAACCCTTGCTATGAGCTGTTGTTTGCTTGGCTGCGTCGACCACAAAGAACGGGCAATTTTCATTTATTCTTATTCTTTAAAAAACAACCATAAAATTATTTTATTATTAAGACATATATGTATACTTACCAGCTGAAAACAAATATATATTTATATATTTACCTTTATAACAAATTTAAAAATGAACACGTATTATTTATCTTAATATTTCTTTTTATATTCCAATATTTAGAGACACTTGAATCCTTTTTTAACAAACTATCTTTTATATATCCGTCTTTCGCTTTATCAGAAATCCAACGTCCATGTTTTTTAAACAAACGGTCTTTTACTCCAAAATTTGCTGCCGCTGTAGCTCCTCCCGCACGCATACTATGTAAACCAAACTTTTGTCTGTCAAATCCTAATATTTCTAGCTTTTGTAAAATAACTTCTCTAATTCTTGTATACGACATTTTTCCGTTTTTACGTAAAATGTGCTTTTTGGATTTCTTTAAATAACTAACTGGTCTAAATATAAAATTATCTGAATGTTCTTCAATGTTAGCTGCTTCCAAATATCTTTGTAAAAAAGCATATGGACATGTAGATTTCCCAGTTTTAGCAATCAAAACCGTAGATCCGTCCCTGTAAATGTCAGTTTTACTTTTTTCTATAAATATCTCAAAATATTGTTCTGTAAAAGAAATATCCGATCTTTTAATATTGCATACCTCGCTATATCTCAAAAAACCTGCAAATGATATAAGGCATATACAAACATCTCGTAAATCTGCTAAACTAGCATTTGTATTAGCGAAATTGTTAATCATCATTTCTAACATTTTCGGAGTAACTATTTCCTTTTTTACTGTTTTCTTGCGTGACGTTCTCTTTGACGCTTCAACAATATTATTTATCATAGGATTATCACACGGATTTGGATTTATACCTGCTATTTCATGTGTCCATTTTAAACCATATTTAACGTCTTGAATCGTTCCTGGTTTACACGAATGCTGTATCAAACTCAACATGTAAAGTGCAATGTGATGCGTTTGAGCTGGAAAAACTTTTACTTCTTCAAAATTACTCGCCCATTTTTTCCATCTCTGAAATACGGATGAGTACTTGCGTACAGTATTTTCTGCTCTTGAATGTTCCAAAACCTGTGGTAAATCTGCAGCCAAACTCTTTAGTGTTGTGTCCTGTACCTCTCTCATCTTTGTCCAAATCCCTGTTCTGAAAATCTGTAATAGAAAATGTCCTTTCGCATCAATACCACAAATGCAATTTCTATGCTACTTGTCTTTAATCTTTCTCTCTGATCTTTATTTATTTCATTATGTTAACTTCACTATTCAACATTCACCTTACAATTNAATCTGCTAAACTAGCATTTGTATTGGCGAAATTGTTAATCATCATTTCTAACATTTTCGGAGTAACTATTTCCTTTTTTACTCTTTTCTTGCGTGACGTTCTCTTTGACGCTTCAACAATATTATTTATCATAGGATTATCACACAGATTTGGATTTATACCTGCTATTTCATGTGTCCATTTTAAACCATATTTAACGTCTTGAATCGTTCCTGGTTTACACGAATGCTGTATCAAACTCAACATGTAAAGTGCAATGTGATGCGTTTGAGCTGGAAAAACTTTTACTTCTTCAAAATTACTCGCCCTTTTTTCCATCTCTGAAATACGGATGAGTACTTGCGTACAGTATTTTCTGCTCTTGAATGTTCCAAAACCTGTGGTAAATCTGCAGCCAAACTCTTTAGTGTTGTGTCCTGTACATCTTTGTCCAAATCCCTGTTCTGAAAATCTGTAATAGAAAATGTCCTTTCGCATCAATACCATAAATGCAATTTCTATGCTACTTGTCTTTAATCTTTCTCTCTGATCTTTATTTCATTATGTTAACTTCACTATTCAACATTCACCTTACAATTCCCCTTTTGTATGACATATTTTCATTCTATAATTTGCATTTTTTTTAACTTCAACCTGCAAACATGTAACAGATTTTTCTTTTAACCATTACCATGTCATTATTTTTATAATTTATCAATATGTATTAATTTTACATGCAAAACTGAATTTATATCCCATTTATCTTTTCAAATCCAATTTTTATTCCTATTAAATCTCATCTTGATTCATTTCTAATCGCATCTCGATTTATATCCAATCACATCTTGATTCATATTCATATCGAACCACACCTCGGTTCATATCAAACCACATCTTGGTTTCATCAAATCACATCTCAATTTATATCTAACCACATTTCGATTCTCATCGAACCACATCTCTATTTGTATCAAACCAAATTTCTGTTCGCATCAAACCAAATTTCTGTTCGCATCGAACCACATTTCTGTTCGCATCGAACCAAATCTCTGTTCGCATCGAACCGCATCTCTGTTCGCATCGAACCACATATCTGTTCGCATCGAACCACATTTCTGTTCGCATCGAACCGCATCTCTGTTCGCATCAAATCAAATCTGTTCGCATCAAACCATATCTCGGTTCATATCGAATCACATCTCGATTCAATTATCCAACATATCCATCTCTATCTTATTTTTGTTTCTTCATAAATGAATATACTACATAAAATCTTGTGTAACGAATGTCATGATCCATTATAAATCCTTCAAATCACTTCTAGATTTTATCATGTTCCATTGCATTTTATAATTTTCAACCTTTCACCTACTTTAAATCTAATCTTGATCTAACCTTTTTATTCAGAACAATCTATCCTTATTGCCAGAATTTGATGCTTGAAGTTTTTTGATCCTATATAAGAATTTTTGTTTTTCCCTTGTTTGCAAATATCACATCCGTTCTTAAACTTTATTATATCCTTAATATACCATTTCCATTTTGAATTTTCATCTTGTAACAATGGCCAAAATGTTGCTGATTTCCAGTCTGGTACTACCAAAGTACCCTTTGCTTTGCAACCTAGTAAATGATTTATAACTTTTGGCACTAATGCTACTGGAGGTACTAACCAATTATTTTCGTTTGACCAATCCTGTAAAAATGCATCAACCGCCTCTGTATTTGGATTCCAAAATTTTGAATTAAAACGAGTTACTTTTGTATTTTCATAATTAGCAAATCTATCTATTGTATACGATCCCCATTTTTTATTCATAAAATTAAAGAAATTTTCCGTGACTTCCCAATCATCTGTGTCTATAATTTTACTTATAAAATCTGCTTTTGCGTTTTGTGTCCTTGGAATCCATTTTATTTGCAAAATAATATCATTTTCTACACAAAAATTGAAAATATTTAATGCCAATGTTTGCAAATGCACCTTCGTCGATCCAGTCTGTACTATTCTAACAACATTTTGATTATCTGTAAACCATCCGATTTTTCGATTTTTAATAAATTTCGTAAATGACTGTAATGACATAAATAGCGCCTTTAATTTTCTCCATGTTGAGCTCCGTTTTTTCTCACTATCAGACCACATTTTGTGACAAATCTCAGAATTGCATCTAATCAAATATCCTCCGCATGCATGTTCGCTTGCATCTGAAAACCCCAGTATTTTTGGTACATCTTCCACAAACATGACTCTGCGATTTAGCCTGTCAATGGTCCGTGTATGGGGGGGCAAAGTGATTTCCATTTCGTCAGAAAATGAAAAAACGGCCGTTTTTCCTTTTCATTTGATAAATTGTCAAAATGAAATGGAAAATCAACCTCGATTTTCGTTTTTCCTTTTAAAATGAAAAATGGAAAAACGAGATTATTTTTCGTTTCTTCTACTTTTTTATGACATAAAAAAACAAAAACGACAGATTTCCAAACGTGATAGAAAATAGAAACATCCACTGTTTTCCCATGTCAAGAGAGTGAAATATATCAGAAAATACGTCCTTTTCTCCTTCTGTGAAGAAATGAAGTATCGAAACATTTTCATTTTTTGCCATTATAGTTTCAATGGAAAAACGGAAGTCAGTTCGTTTTTCTGATTTTCATTTTGGAAATAAAAATTGAAAACGGAAGTAGGCCTATATTAAGACACACAGACAGAAAAATGGCAGCCTTTGAAACTTTGACTTCACAAGACTAGGATTATTCCTGGTTTTGTATAAGTATTCGGAGATTTAGTAAATAACTTCAAGAAAAATGAATTAAGGAATTTCAGATATTCTAAAAACTGTGGACAATTATGGAAAAACAATGCTCCATCACTGTGTGTGGTTCAGAAATATGAAATAGGCCCCTAGGTTAGTGCCTAGGTCTAAGTGGAGTAAAGATGAAGGTTGGATCTGTTGCTGTAAGGTTTTTTTTCTTTTTTTTTTTTTTTTTTTTTTTTGTGACAAGATTTTGATAGAAAGTAGAAATTTTTATCATGAGAGAAATATTTGAATGTTTATTAAGTCGCCTGGACTGTAGTGCTGGTATAGCAACTAAGCCCTACTGGTACGTACGACTGGGCAAAGCAGTTATGTAGCTGCACAAATTTTGTAGCTGTGTGTCCGTGGTTAACACTGGATAAGTAAATAAAATGTTTGTTAGAATCTTTACACCACTGCGTCTTGTTGCTCTTGAATGTTATTGTACCTTAGTCAAAGAAGTTATTGAGTTAGTTTTTACAAACCTACAGGGCCCTTTGCGCAATGCATTTGCTTTATTATCTTATCACAAACTAATAAGCAAATTACCTACATTTACTACATGTATTTCCTCTTCCTTAACATTTTAATGCAAGCTTGGGGGGTGGGGGGTATTTTATTTAATAAAAATTCACACATTTGCATCTTGAGTTTGACTCTCTTTTTTAATGCAATACGAGCGTTGGGACGGACAATCTCAAATATTCGTCGTGTTGATAAAAATAAGCTGTACATAGAAGGAAAAATAAGTGCAAGAATTCTCTCTTGTTTCAGTTTTTACTGCTGTAACTATACAAACCAGCAACTAATCAAGTAACAAATACAGGGGTGGATCCAAGATTATTTGAACAAGATTATTTGGGGGGGGGGAGTCCGCGGGTAAGCGCGTCATTGTTGTAATATTATAATATATTAATATTTAACCTTTCAAGAAAATAAAGATGTTCAAAAAACAGTCCTTGGATGCGAAGCCGAAACTCCCCCCCCCCCTCCTTGGCGTGGGTTTCGGGGCCCGCTGAAGGGCACCGAAAAATTTTGGTATTTATTTTGGAGAGTACCATTTGGTATGGTTTAGAACTATGATTCAGCTGTTCAAAATTCTAATTTCAAGAGGGGATCATTGGTGTGATTTTTTTAGAAATCGAAGGGGGGGGGTCAGAATCAGGGGCGGATTTAGGCCGTCTTCTGGGTCTTCCGGAAGACGGTCAGAATTTCAAGTCCTTTCAAGATTTTATATAGACGGGTATCTAACTTTTTCTGTCGGAAGACGGTCAAAAATGAGGATGAATCAACAAAGATAATTTGGAAGACTGTCAGAAAATATCTCTGGATCCGCCCCTGAGAATCCCCCTGATACCCCCATAAATCCGCCACCTAAAATGTTCACCAACCAAAAAAGAAATAATTTAGAATAATAAAAGAGTAAAAAATTAAATAAATGAAATAAAATGGGACATCAAGATATGGATTTGATATACAGCTGTACCAGGAATAAATTAAACTGCATCGATCTTCTGAAGGAGTGAATGAGTATATTATTTAGTAAGGTCTTGACTTCCTAGCCCGTAGCTGTGTTTCAAGCATAATTAGATGTTTTGAAGGAACATTAAATGAATATGACAGGAATAAAAAAAACTAAGACCTTTATTTTAAGAGAAAGTCTCTAATCTACATCCCCCCTTAATCATAAAATGTTCCTGACGCCTTTCTGGCCTTTGAAAACCGTTTTGGTGGGTTTTTCTCTCTTAAAAATTTGCTTACAGCTAGGATAGACGATAATAATTTTGGTTCTATCTTACAGATAGCCCTCCTACTCCCTTTCGGCCCTTTGACCGTAGATAACTGATCAGCATTTTCTGACCAAACTTTCAAATAAGAGGAAACACGCGCTGCAATAAATCATTAAACAATAAGACTGATTTTTAAAGAAGTAAGACTGATCAAGGATGAGAACAAAGACAAATTGTTTAAGTTTTAAATCGTGCCGTTGAAGCTAAATGGTAGGCCTATAGGCCTATTATCTACAAATCAGCGGATCTACAATAAACAACAACAAAAATATGATAATAATCAAATACTTTATTAAAACCTTATTGTCCATGAAAGTTATTCACAGTGGGTAGAGGATTAAAACAGTCTGATTAGAATATATTTTCAGCACACAAACAGCTGGCACATGCA